TCGTCAAATAGAACTGCCCGGTAAACCGTAGGCAGAGAGGGAGAAGAGGACAACAAACGAGGGGCTGTGACAAACTGTTTCGTCGGAGTTTAATAAATATATATATATATATATATATATATATATATATATATATATATAAAAGAGAGAGAGAGAGAGAGAACCAAACTTGAGATTTTGTACTTCTGTAGAAGAAGTTCGGATGCATGCACTCACAAGGAAAGCAATAGTGGGGAGAGGGAGGAGGAAAGGCTGGAATGTCGTGCACGATTGAACTGCGGTGTGGAGGACATGGCATTCCAAACAACAATCCGATTGGTATGGCAGTTGAGCTGCTCCAAGAACGAGAGGTAAAAGAAGCAGGAAAGAAGGCTGCAAGAACCGGGAGAAAAAATGGTGAGGAAGGAGACAAGGATCCGGAAGTGAGTTGGACAGCGGGGAGGAGAGTTGAGAAAGAGAGGAAAGCAGTTAAGAGTTGTTGGAGAAAGACGCAAGAGCACAGTATGCGGGCACTTAAAGTCAGCAGGAGTAAGCATGAAAAAAATCCTGCATGTCGGCGGGAAGAGAGAACTAAAAAGGCGAGAGAATATCAAAGCGATGGAAATCATCAGGCAAACCAAAGACGAAGGAGAAGGGCAATGCCTAACAGCTACAGGTGTATGCGCGCACAAAAATTCAAAAGAATAAAAAATTCCTATGCACGCTCGCTAAGGCAAGAAAAAAGACAAACCTCTCTCCCATAAGCATAAAAAAGCCACTCGTTCCAAAGCACCGAGGAAATTCAGACCATACAACTACCATACACCCCTGTGAACCAAAAAAAAAGAAGATGGCGGCAGAAGCAAAATGTACGTCACAAGTATCCCATAAAACATCATTGCAACATCTTTTTTCTTTTCATAACAAGTCCCCAATTTTATAAGTGAGGGGTGTCACCTGCTGAAAAACAGGTCCCCCATTCCATAGAAGCACACCTCTTCAGTCACCCCCGGTGGCCGCCAGATTCAGCATTGTCAACTAGCATGCCTTATATTCGCCCGATGGACCACGACAACTAGGTTGGACCCCCACGTCCAACCTAAGGGCCCTCCATTTTGCGCATGTGACCTAAGACTGCAATCTATAATGGAGCTGGAAAGAAAAAAACAGATCAGGTAGATCAACTAAGTACTTACATCACCAGCAGTCTATAATGGAGCTGGAAAGAAAATAACAGATCAGGTAGATCAAGTAAGTACTTAAGCGACCAATGCGGTGGCCTAAGTTCCCCCTGGCCGTTAGGCCCAGTTGATTTTCAGTTTACCTCTCTCTCTCTCTCTCTCTCTCTCTCTCTCTCTCTCACACACACACACACACACACACACACACAGTGACAAGGCCCCCTGCACTGCAGGGCCAGCATCAGGTGAGACCGACTAGACGAACAAAGGCTGGCAGATCCCCCATGAGCTGACTCCGGGACTGTATGGTAGTCCAGGGGTGGGCCAAATAGGCTTGAGCATACTGGTGAGGATCGTTTTGAGCGATGAGGGAGGACAATGAACCTTATGTTCCAAGGACTGCACAAAACACACGTTGTCCCAAAAGCGGAAAAGAAGGGGAATGGTTCCGTTCCCAGGAGAAAGAAACAGAAGCAATTAACTAGGGCCTTCTGCTCCTCTTCCTGCAACCCCCTCCCTCCTCATCCTCCTACCCTTCCTCCCTTCTCCTCCTTCCCCATCCGCACTCCCTCGTCCCTTCTTCTTCTTCTTCTTCTTTTTCTCCTTCTCCTCATCCTCGTCCTCCGCCACCACTTCCTTCTCTTCTCTTCCTCTTCTGCTTTCTTCTTCTTCTCCTCTTCTCTTCCTCATCTCCTTTTGTCTTCTTCTTCTTCTTCTTCTCAGTAACTACTTGTACTCCTCTTCTCTTCCTCATCTCCTTTATTCGTCTTCTTCTTCTTCTCAGTAACTACTGGTACTCCCCATCTCGTGGCAAATTCAATTCTGGTCCATTTTCGTGGGGAGGGGTACGGGTGGACTGCTGAAAACCAACAAGAACCACTCTGCACATGTTATTTCCGTTCCCCATGGGATAGTCTTTTTGCATGGAAACGAGGGGATGTAGGTCCTGCCCCGTAATTCCATTTCACCCCTTCCACTCTGAACAACCCAGTTGTGTGTGGGGCACGGCTATCTGTGGATGAGTCAGTGTCATGCCAAGCCGTTTCTGTATCTGGGGAAGACCATGGCTGACTGTGGTCAGCAAGCTCCAGCCCTCCAGTATGATGTTCAGCTCCCTGTCCTGTCCCATGCCATACCACTGACGGCCCTCTTGCCTGCACTGTACATCCTGCACTGTACATCAGAGCCTCCCATGCTTGTCTGTGATAGTCTTCCCGTCCAGCTCTTCCTCGTAATCAGAAAGAACTGAGGTTCAAGTTCATCAAGGCCCCTCCTGAGGCATAGGCACGGCCCTTGTCAGACCTCCAATAGGTCTAGTCTCTGCAACGCATGCGCAAGCTCCTGTCATCCAGCCCGGTTGTCCCTGCAACCCCTCACGAGAACAACCTACCTATTCGTTTAATCTTTTCTAAGTCGTAACCTACCTTACCCTCCTCTCTACCCTAACCTAACTCAACCAAATTCACCTAACCCAATCCATACCCAATCCATACTTTTCTCAATCGCTTTTCAAAGCCAGTTTCTTCATGACAAGAAGACAAATGCAACAACAATGTCTAAGATCAAGTGTAGTATCTGTTCTGATCAGTCTAATATCTGATCCGTGGTCCATCGGGCCACATAAAAAGAAGGAAAAGAGGAGAAAATAATTATGGCACAACAACAACGTCTAAGTTCTAACTTCTACTTTGGGCTTCGCTCCACTACATAACACTCGAAATGGAGCTGAAGTTGGTAGTGGTGGTCCCAGCACAGCAGCTAAGTGAATCTGCACATCTAGCTCCCCCCACAGCTGAGGTTACAGGATGGCCCTACCCATCCCAGCATGAGCCCGACGTCCTCCACCGTGCAAGCACAGATTCGAGCCGGCAACCTCGGCCTCAAGAGCCAGGTATCTTAACCACTACAGCCAGGACACGATGTTCAAAAGTACTAGAAATGTTGATCAGTCCGAGTGAACCTCGTCCACGTGTCAGTCCAGATACCTACCTACCTGTTCGAATGTTTGAGTAGTGGAGCGAGGCCCTTTATCTGCTGTTAACTTGCCGCCATGACGGTATCGCCCTGGAAAATCTATGTATTCTCTTTACAGCCAAAACCTTGACCGCCGGGCACAGATGGTTGCCTTGCACCGGGTTCTTCTCTCTCTCCTCTTTGTCTTGCCGTATCTCTCTCAGCCTCTCTTTTACCGCCTTCGTTGGCTTCAGCACGCGATGGGGATCCCGTTCCACCTGGACCCTCCCTCCCTCCATTTTCCTCTGCAGCTTCTTCATCCTCTCTTCTCGCAGTTTCGCTTTCCTATTTTGCTCTTCTATCAACCCCTTCCTTCTCTGTAGGATAGACTCGTCTTGTTTTCGTCGCCGATCAAGATCTTGCTGTGTAACCTGCTTTTCTGCCAGCGGCTTTAATCGGTCAGACAGCTGCTTGCAGAACTCCTCCTCGGCCTTCTTCTTTGCTAGGAACTCTTCTACCAGTGCCTTCGCATAGGCTCGCCGCGACTCTTCTCTCCTTCTCTCCCTCAGCTTTGCCAGCTTCTCGGCGTCCTCCTCTCTCGCTCGCTTGTCGGCTTCGGCGGCGGCTTTGGCTTCCTTCCATAGTCGCAGTTGCACCAAAGTTTCTTCCCTTCGACTTCTCTCCGCCATCTCTTGTCGCCGCTGCTCCTCCCTTGCCTTTCGAAGACTCGCCGCCTCCAATGCTGCTGCGCGCCGTTCAGCGATGGCGGCCTCCTTCTGCGCACGCCACTTAGCAATCGCTGCGTGCTTCTTTGCAAGGAGGCTTTCGTATTCCTCCTGCCATCTCCAATGCCGGATGATAGAATCCTTGTCATGCAGGATAAGCTCTTCCAAGCACTGAGCCACGCAAGAGCCATAGTCCCGACGGTTTTCCTTGAGAATTCTAAGGAAGAGCCTGTGATCTTCGTGATCCCAACCACCTGTTGCACCTGTTCTACTCACGAAGTCGTCAAATTCTTGAACCTCCATGAGCAGTTTGCGATGCAATGCCCTCTCTCTCTTCGCCTCCCGTCTTTGCCTCCGAACGTCGACATCCTCCATCGTAACAATAGACCTGCTGCTTTGCTCTTCTGCTGCTCCTTCTGATTCTGCTCCTGCTGCCGCTGCTGCTGCTGCTGCTGCTGCTCCTGCTGACCTCTCTACAGCAGCAGTCCTCTTCAACTGCTTAACGCAATACTCTAAGTCTCTTGACACAGTCCTCTCGGCATGAGCTAATGCTTCCAACTCGCCATTGAATTGCTGCTTTGCTTCCACAAAGTAAGTCTCTCCTTCCCAAGCGCACTTGGAAATGGCCCCCCCTAGACCTGGACCTGGACCTAGACCCCCCACATTCTTTCTTCCTACCTGCAAATCCGATAAGAGAGATTTCACCTTCATCACAGCAGCCCTGGCCTTCCTCTGCTGATCGCCAAGACTGGCTACACTCTTTCGACGGTTGAGCTCGTCGGTACGTGTGTCATCCCAAAGGCTCTTCAACTCTGCCGCCAGCTCGTGATAATCAGCCGTTGAGCCGTCACACCTCAACAGTCGGGCTTCTAAGTCCTTTTCACACTCCCTTCCCATTAGATGCAATCGCTGAGCCTCATGCACCCAGCCCATCTTCTCCTTCCACAAATCGGTTTGCGCATGAAAATTGCTGGTCATAGGATTTCCATACTGTTCGGGCCGCCTGCCAGCCTGAGTAGGATGATCGCCAGTGCTGCAATCGAGAGAGGATACTGCTCGGTGAGCAGAACCAACCACCTCGACACGTGGCAACACGTTGAAGAAGACACTCCCAGCTGCAGAGCCAACTGGCCCATGCTTCAGTCGAATGGTTGGTCGTTGTGCTTTTCCAATCGCGGGTAAGATAACCCCGGAGCCCTTGAAGTCTCCCATCGGCAGCTTCTAATGCACACTCGACGGAAACGGGGAAGGGGAAAGAAACCACACACTCTCTTGCAAAGGACAGAGGAAGAAGAACAGGGTTTTGATCTTTGTGGAGTCCCCCTTGTAGATTATACAAGCGAAAGAAGGAAATGAACCTCTACGTAGAGTTGGGGTCTATACATCAGCAGCAGCCTCTGCGACCCGTGTGTGCATGCATTAGTTGTTGACAGAGCTCCCAGAAGTCACTGAGGACGTACACATAAATCGTCGCTTCTTCTTCACATACTAAGTAAATGCTAATTCGCTCTGAGCTTACTCGTCTCTTCTTCTTCTTCTTCTTCACATCGTTCTGCACGTGTTTGTCCATCTCTTCTCTCTCTCTCTCTCTCTCTCTCTCTCTCTCTCTCTCTCTCTCTCTCTCTCTCTCTCTCTCTCTCTCTCTCTCTCTCTCTCACTGTGTGTCCCTCGCCCGCTCAGCAACCTCTTTCATGAACCTTTCTCCTCCCCACATTTCCCACCACCTTTCCCTCTCCCTTCTGTCTCTCTCTCTCTCTCGCTACGATGATGATGTGACAGACAAACTGATTCGCGCACATTACAACGTGTCATGCAGACCTTCCGTTCGCTCCTAGAAGACCTTACGAGGCCTCCCCCCCCCCCATTCCCCCACCCCTCAAGAGGTTATGTTACGAAACTGACCCACAGAGTCCGTAGCAATTCTTGCAACTCTTTCTACTTCCATTGTCCCTTCATCTCGTACCTGTTGGTCGCAGCTGGGGCCGCTGGGGCCGCTGGGGCCGTACTTCCACCAGGACTTCCTTGGATGCATATGACCGCCTTGCCGACCACGCCTGGATGCACCGGACCGCAATTACGTCCACAGAGAAGTTCAAAAAGTCCAAGTGTGAGTATGCCCTGAGATGATTCAGATTGATATCAACGATCGCTGGCACCTTGTTCGCGTGCTGTTCTGGTTTCTCGAAGTTATGCATGGCCAGCCTACAGTAGTGTTCTCAGAGTCTGCGTTTGCAGATTAATTTTGATTTTGATTTGAACACAAAGCGCGGCGACATCTGTCCGTGTCCGGCGCACCGAGCAAATCGGCTATTTTGCTAATGATTTGCACCGGCGCGGCTATTCTGCACACGATATGCAAGTACGCTGCTATTCTGCGGATGCTATTCCAAGCCCGTGCGAATGGGCTATTCTGCGCATGCTATATTGCATGTGAGTGGATGCTATTAAAAAATGGGCAAATCGGCTACCCTGCGCAGGCTATTGCAAGTTCGTGCAAATACCCTGTTCTCCGCAATGCAAGTGCACTTAGTGCAGGCCCAGTCTCTTCTTGAGAGGATGCACTCTGTGTACGAGAAACCGCCGCTCTGCGCTTTCGCTTTGCCGCTCGTCAAGAACGGCACGTCCAAAGTATCCGTATCCGAATTGGCGTCTTTGGGCCTCGCTCATTCTACATGCATTTGGACGCCTTTGTAGAGGTGCATTCGGAGGAGTCCAACATTTCCAATTTATCGGGACGATTACATGCATTTGGACACATTGTGCAGGTGCATTCGGAGGAGTCCAACATTTCGAATTTGTGGAGACGATTACGAGTCCCAGATACGTACAGAGCGTTCTGTAGTGGAGCAAGGCAGTTTGTTCTTTTTTTTGCGAGAATTTCGAAATGACCCTCCGACTTCCATTTATTTGTGGTATGCCCCTCATGAATTCTTGTGCTGTCTACGTGCGTTTGCATGATGCATACTTTTGTGGCATGCCTTTGAATGCTTTGAATGCCCCTCCCACGGCCTACTTACCCTGTCGTGCCCCTGGGGTCTCGAATGTCTCCTGCAGGCCCCTGTCAGTGAGGGGTGCAACTTAACTTTCCAGCATGCCCCTGTGGCGGCTGGTCGCACTCACGGCCATTCCCCTGGCCCTCGGAAGGGAGCTACTAGGGCATACTGGAAATTTGGAACTGGTATTGGTAGGGGCATTTGAACGATTTTCAGGCCCAAACGACGCCAGTGGTTCTTGGGAAACTTCAATCCTTGTCGGAGATGCGCTACAGGGTAAGTCGGCCCTCAGAGGGGCATACCGCAAATGAATGGAAGTCGGATGGGCATTTCGGAAATTTCCCTTTTTTTTCCTTTTTTTCTGAAGGTTTTTCTTTCTCAAAATTCAAATTCCAGTAGGCCTCCTTTTCCTGCCTTCCTTCTCCACTCCCTGCGGATTTCCTCTCTGAGAACCTCTTTCAGCATTCAGCATGATGTTCTGACAGACCCTTCCCATTGAAGCATCATTCGTTACGATTTTTCTAGATTATCCACATCATGGACGTTCTGCCCACTTGTGCGACATATCCCCATCCTATTTTACATCGGGGTTCCGTCTTCCCCATGCCCCAGTAGGATCCATCTTTCACCTATAAACTGAGGTTGGGCTGAAAAATGGATCCAGTGGGCTTCCCACCAGCTCCACCACTCCTTGGGTCTGGGACATGTCCACCAAAGGTGGTACATTGTCTCACATATCCAATTTCATCAGTCACACAACTCTTTTACCGGCATACCTCTTTTGCTCAACCAACGTGCAACTGGCACTACCAAATGGGACTGAAACCATGCGAGCGACGCTGTGACGCCCAATCTCACGCCCAGCGCGACTTCCTGATCGGAGTGGGATGCAAAAAAGGGGTGTGCCAAGGATTTTAGGATAGTGGGGGTGGAGTTCCAGGTCAGAACTGAAATCTCCTGTGGCAAGCCTTAGGGGCAGTTATGCAAGATAGCAAGCACGAACTGCGTCCGACTTTGATGCCTTGGGGGATGTCATCGCCATCCCCGTGAGTTTCGTTGCCGAGGCTGGGCTCGGATTTGGTGAACCGGCGGAATGCTATGTGTGTCGTGTTGCCTAACCAATCGCCAACGTCGCTCGTGACAAGTCTCCGAGTCGGACGAAGCGGGCCTCAGGCGCAGGCTGTGTGCTCGTTGTTCGGCCTCAGTCCAGGTTCGTCGAACGAACTCCGCGGCTCGGTACTCGCTGTCCTGCTGGCACTCGGAGCACGGGGTTCGACGCCAGTAGGGGGCGAGCGCATGCCACGGGGCCGCCGTCAGGCAGTGAAAAGGCAACACGAGGCGGTAGGGAGCGAAGTCTGTCTCAATGATGACGACACCGGGTTCGGCGATGATGTGGCTTACGTGTGAGCTGGGGAACTGGGAGGGAAAAGGGATTGCACTTAAGGCCCGTTCAATGTCTCACTCACAGACACGTCCGTTTCCTGTCCTAAAGGGGAATTTTGGAGGGTTGGGGCGGGGTTGTGCGAGAAGACATGAGTTCTTCCACTCCCTGTATTCTCGGAACCGTCGGTGTCTCAGGCTTTCCCGATCCGTGACGTGGAAGGGAGTCCCATCATCCATGCTATCGGAATTTTGCGAGTTTAGACATGGACTCGAGCGCAGGTCTTGTAGACGCGCGTGTAGGCGATCTCTGTTTTGATCGAGCCTGCACGAATGCGCACAAGACCACGTTTGCGATCAGTTGGATCGGATCGACCGGCTATCCCTTTGGTCGGGAAATCGTCTGATCCGTTGTTATGCTAGCCCATGCGAGCGTTGAGAAACAGACATTAGGAAGGCAATCTGCGGGCAATCACACATTTGAATCAGCCATCCACTTACCCTCCACAGCATACATCAGCTGGGACCACCGAGTGTTCGTTAGATTCTCCTTTTTGTCCAAAAGGGAATGGGAAACTGGCATGCATACTCAGGTATCAATCGAACTCATGCATCAATCGAACTTTAAGGTTGTGCCAATCTCCGGAAAAGCATAAACGAGAGATCGAAAAAGGTTTGCGCATCAAGCCATGTCACCAAGGAAGCCTACATCATCATAACCCAAGCTCACTAGGGTCACGTGCAGACAATCGTCGTGCCCGATCTCACCATACTGCAATGAAACAGGAGTGAGGGGGGGGGGAATCAAACCGATCACTAAAAAAGCACGAACCAGGGGTAGTCATGAGTAAGAGAGGACCGACGCCACTTATTAAAACTACATATGCGAGAAAAAGAAGGACACCATCCCACACACAAGATCCGAAGGTTGGCAATTCCGTAATATGCACGAGGAGCACATCCAACCCGAGCGCAGAATGGGGACTAGAAAGTGACAAAATTTGAGTTAAACTAGTCATCCAAAGATTGCGCGAGGAGGGGTGAGGGAAGCGCGCGAGTTCATTCCACACACACCATAAGCAAAAATTCCAAAATGATTCGCAAGAAGATCGAAAACGGTCGTAACAAGATCGACCAAGGTTGAAATCAAAATTTATACAGAGGGTTAGAGAAAGGCATCATCCCACACACACATCTCTCTCTCTCTTTCTTCCACGCTACATCACCTCCGATGCGGGCAGTCCGTCGCCTCGCACCAACACCGAGTCGTCACCCCACTTAGTCCGAGTACGCAAGCCAAGTTCGTTTGTGCGTCACATTTCGTCGTGGCCCGCACGTCAACCCCGCCAACCCGGCACCAGCTCGTCGGGTCCCCCGACTCACTTCTGCTCATCTTCTCACTTACTTGTTAGCCGATTCTCACTGACCATGCGAACTTCCAAATCTGAGAGAGCAAACTAATCGGGCTTGCGAAATTTATAGCGTGCATGCTTGCGCGATGAACCTGGGATTATGCCTAAGTGAAGGGAAGGGGAAGAGAAGGAAGTGCCTACGCCTGCATGGCCAAGCCACGGTGGGGGATGCAACCGCACTCCACGCATCGATCCGGCCATGCAGTCGTTCAGGCCAATTAGAGTGGAGGACGAGGTATGCCCGGCAGAGGGGAAAAAGGCGGGGAAACACGAGAGAATCAAGAAGGAGTATAGTTACAATTGCGCCCGCCAAAAATTACAGTTACATGCAAGATTAAGGGCGCGATGCAGTCAGAGCCCAGTTCCTATTGCGGTGAGAGGTGCGCGAGCAAGAAGCGTGGCGCAACAAGATTTCAGAGCACCTAAATTCCTAGTCTAAATCCTATTTGCAAAAAAAAAAATTGAAAAGCCTAAAAAAAAAACAATTTCAAGAGTCCGTCATCTGTTGTAAATTTGAAAACGACATTCCCGCGCGCTAA